AAAAAAAAAAAAAAAAAAAAAAAAAAAAAAAAAATGCATGGCATAACATTTTGTTAGCCACATGCTAGACGAACACTAATAGATCGCTAATATACGAAAAAAATGAAGAGAAACAAAAAGTATAGCCTTACAATGGCAGAAGTAACCCATCTGGCCATGAATCGAACACACTTCAAAACCGAAGAAGAATAAGAAAGTGTAGAAACGGTAAAGTAAAGTAAATCATATTCATAAGAGTGTCCTTTAAGAAATGATTCAGAAATGCAGTACTCTACATGGTTGAAAAAGAACACTAAATTTCCCTACGCTGGCACCTATTTTAAACTTTAAACTCAAAATGCCCAATGCAACTCAAAAACAAAAAAACCAAAAAATAAGGTAAAGATTTACTTTATAATGTAGTTTACAAATGTGGACGATTGCTATCTAATAAGCAAATAAAAAAATTCAAAATTCTTCTTTAAGGAGGGAATGTTAATAAGTTAGACTAATTAAAAAAGAAAAACTTGTGCCGGCTTTGTTGAACATTTCTAACGCTGACAGATATCAGAAATATCTAGACCTTAGTCATAATTTGTAATTTTAAAGTAAAAAATTGAAAAAGAAACAAAACATTTCCTTACTCTGTCACTTTTAATTCAAAGAAATAATGACTTACATGGAAGCTCGTCTCCTCCATCGTCTTCAGAAACATCTGATTCATTACCTCCTTCCTGTTCAGCCGCCGCTGCGGCTGCAGTCCGATCGTCAGCTTTTGACTTGTCTTTATTTGCTTCAGTTTCACCACTTTGTTCTCCATCCGGAGAGGCACCAGCCAACTTCGTTTGTTGGTCATAAACTTGAGCCATATATTGCTGATAATGTTGCTCTTGAAGCTGCTTGATTAACGCTTCTTGCTATAAACAAAAAAAATAAAAATCAACTTTCGTATAAAAAGAATAACGCTGGAAAAGACAGCAAGTTGAAAAAAACAAATATATAAAAAGAACACATTACTTATATTAATTGTTTCAGTTAACTTTTTGTTGAAAAGTATCCTCAATGAATCAAAACAAACAGCTCATTGTCCTCAACACATCGATAAATCAATTAAACACCAAAATACAATTACTAGACATATTTCTGTTTTATCATCTAAAAAGCGCAGTTTTCTATTGACTATAACAATCGCTCAAAAGTTAATATGATTTAAAGTTCTCTTAACTTCTCTTAACCTATCCGTTATTTGCAATGTGAAAAAATCGTCTGAAAAAAACTAACTGTAAGTAAACATACAAATAACAAAATAATTTTCTTCTACCAACAGGAGGCAGTTTTCTACCTAATATCGAAAAAAATATGGTTCAATTATTCACTTCTTAATTTTAGTTAAAAACGTAACCAAGTCCAAACAAAAGAAACTAAGAAAGCAAAAACTGAATAAATTTTTTTAATCCGACCTTTATACTCTCTCATTTTACACCACGCTATAACAGAAATAAAAAAGTCAGTGAATATAAACTCTTCCCACTATACTTTTTTCATTCAAGCCATAATTATCAGTGAATTTGAACTGAAGTAACTGAAAAAAAAATTTGTTAATTTTAATCGGTAAAAAAAATTACGATAACAAAAGCAGAACTACTTTCGTACTCTTGAAATAACCAAAAGCTGTTTGATAAACCAAAAAGTTGTAAGGATTTTGGGGACGACCACAAACAAAAATACGCACTCTTAAGCACAGCACCTATATATATATATATATATATATATATATATATATATATAATATATATATATATATATATATATATATATATATATATAAACTATATATATATATATATATATATATATATATATATATATTTCTCACACAGACACAAACACATACTCAAATGTATACCGACTCCCTCTTCCCCCAAGCCGTTCTCTAGTCTTCATGTATCCATAGTGACTGCATCACATTTTTTCCCTTATTATAAATAGACTTGAAGTATAAAACAGTAAGAAAATTATGAAAATGAAAAACAAGTGAAAAATATTAGAAACCTGCTTGCTTTCCGTTATCTACTTTTCTCTAGTAAAGCCAAAAAGGGAAAAAGAGTAAAACTGCAATAAAAATGTGCTATTTTTAAAATGAGAAACAACAAAAAAAAATACTGTTTTTAAATCATTTCGACCCTCCCCGCTTCTATTCCTATAATATAACTACTTTTATTTGCTTCCCTTCAACAGTTGTAATTTAAGTAAAAACAATACACATGCATTAAAAAAATAAAACACTAACTGCTTTTGATATTAAAAAATGTCTTCTTTGTTCTTACCATAGCTTATATTTTGTATATATCAGATGAATATTATTAGTAGTTTTAAGTTCTTTCAACTCCTTACTCTAACTTTTCCGATAAACAATTAATTGCTAAAATCATCAAAGTAAAACACATCCACCCACCTTTCATCGCTTTCCCCCCTTCTCCCCGTTTTTCCACCCAGTGTTCTTGAAATTTGCGGTTTCCGTTACCAAAAACAACTATCTTTTGATGCAATTTTTAATAAGATAAAGAAAAAGTGTCATAAGGACCAACAACCTACACCAATTTTGCTTCAAAATGCATATAATCAACGAAATAACAACGAAAGCAACAGCTGCAAAAAAAAAAAAACGTTTAAAATCTTCCTCAAGCTTGGTCACTCTTTGACGAATAAAATCACTAACAACACATTTTTCAGTGTTATCAGCCTGCCTTTTCAAACAGAAGAACACCTAGAATATTAACAGCCATTAAAACAGTCCCCACTTTCTAAAAAAATTTTTTACCTCATCACAGAAAAAAAGAAAAAATAAAAATAAAAATCCTAAAAATATCAAAATTTTGTAAATTCAAAGAAATAAAGAAAAAAATGCAGAAAGATGAATTAAAATGCACCATGAAAAGTAAAAAAAATACCCATACTTTTTCTCTGGTGCCAAAAAACTGCTGTTTACAGCTCATATAACAAAACAAAGAACGTTAAAATGCTATAAAAAGTACATACAAATACGCATATATGAGCAAAAATGACTCAGTATAACATTCATTTTTTTGCTGTCATTGATGTTGAGCATAGATTTATAAACCTACCATCCAGTATGCGGTACAAAAACACACACGTAACACCATACTGTATGCATATAAAAAGGCAAAAAAGAACTTGCCAGAATAAACTAATAACAATGACGACGTCAGTCTGGAAAAAATCCCTTAAAAAATTGTCATAGCGACCAATTTTTTTAATACAAGAGATAAAATTGCTAAAGCAGATGACAGTCGAGACAAATGAGAAACGACCAATACAACAAAAGCCCTTTAACAGCCTCGCCATTAGAGCGAATTAATAGAAAAAGAAAGGAAATTTGTCCAGTAGTTCTTTTGCTATACTATAAAATATGCTCAAAAACAACGATCCACAGTTTTAGCCAAAATAATTTCTGGCTATTCACAGCAATTTTCATAAGTACTTATTATTCTCAGCCAGAGAGGAGGCTCCTCGTTATCCTAAGCAATGAACACACGTAACAAAGTAAAAAAAGACATGCAAAACCATGTTTGTCAGCCATTTCAGTTCCAGACAAGACTTTTCACCCTAAATAAACTGCCTTAGTCCAATATCACTAAACGATAACTTATGTGGTACTGATAAAACCAAAATGACAGAGTTTACTATATCTAACACATAATTAAGAGCCAAATTCAGGCGAAGCAAAAAAAAATTAAAGTAGTAGCTTAAAGCAAAAAAATAGAAGAGAAATTGATTTTAGTCATGAAACAGCTAGGGAAAACGCCTTTTTCAATAGAATCTGCTATAGCAAACATGTTTGAGCAAATAAATTCCAGACATCACCTGCCAACTAGTAACAAACTGCAATATTATTACGTCAGAGTAACAATACCTACGTCCAACAAGTGTCAAAATAATGTATTTTAATTAAATATTAGACAGACTTGAATGCATTTCAAAAAATTCAACAAGAGCCAAAAGTTTACATCTGTCAACACGAAATAATCATTCATTCATCTCCCAAAAAAAAATTGACTTCTTCCTTCCTTAGCCGCATCAATCAAAATACGCGCATACCTAAACGTTCGTCAAAATTTTTTACATGCACTTCTAGGAAAGAGATAAAAATGAAAAAAAAGAAAAGTCGGTGATGAAAACAACAACAATGACGACAACCAAACAGGCATGATAAGTCAGATTCTTGAAAGCCAATAGCTAAATCGATAAAAACATTTCAAACACTCGAGAGACGACAAAATTGTTTATCTGAAAATTACTGCTTTCATTTCAACTAAATCAAGCAACTAGATCAGCCTGTTCTAAAATTACAGGTTATCCAATGCGTAATCACCATACACATCAAAAAACAGTTCAAACAGGTGATCACTTTATGTCAATTATAAAAACAAAAAACACAAAATAACACTTGAAAAATAAACTTAGAAATAACAAAGCTTATTCGAAAAAAGATGTCAAGACAAAATATTGGGAAGAAAGAATGTCAAGAAAAATATTAAAACAAAACTAAATTTTTAGACATTACGATTAACTGCTAATACAGAACATTATTGTCCTCTCTGTACAAAATCACTGTTAATTTTTTCCGTTAGCAAATATTCAATTTCAAATTTTCTTCATTTTACGTACACCCTAGAAAACTAAATTTAAATAAAAACTTTATCCAACAATAAAACTGCATAAAAACCAAAACTAAATTTTCCCTCCCTTTCTCCTCTTCCCAACCTCCCTCATGAAACCATTCATACTGAAAATAATGATAAACCAATGCGATTACTAATTTAAAAAATGTCTAAAAAAATTCATTTTCACTTCTCAGGCATACTCAGTATCGCTCAAGAAAAGAAAAAAAAACAACCTTCATCCACCAAATAATCCTCGTCAAAGTTGCGCACAAATCCCCAACAAATATTCATCAGCAAAGTAGTGTTATAGACAACATACACAGTCATACATTTAGTTTTGGGTGATCTTTGAAACTGTTAATAACCTTATTTACAATTTCGTCGACTCTCTTCCAGGATCAGTAAATGTCAGTCTGAACTGCATTGAATAGGCTAAAATACTACCCTTTTCCCCATAATCTCAGAAAAAACCCCAGTATTCCGTTTGCTAACCGAAACAAAACATGAAGA